CTGCATTGGAAGAGTCTTAGAAGTTTTTTTCCCCCCTTCTTCTTTAGGAAGAAACTTTGAGTTCAACTCAAATTTTTATTTTCCTCTCTAGCATCAAGGGACTGAGTCTCATGAAAAGACCTACTCTTGAAGCTGGTGAAATAAATTGAGGTATAGCTATATTTTAACCAAAAATTCACTTTGAATATTCTTTGCACAAACAATAAATGACTGGGTGTTTTAAACATTAGTATGGCCACCTTCCTACTGGAATTTATAAAGAATAAAAAAAAATGCTAGATTTTAAGGTAGAAATTTAAAGACAGGATGCCTTTATTTTTCAAATACTCCTTTTATAAATGAAATCTGCTGAAAAATGGCTTTGGAGTCAGATAGAACTGGGGTTAAATCCTGATTCTATCACAAGCTGTTTAAGTTAAATGAATTTACTTAAATTTCTCTCAGACTAAGTGTCTTCTCCTGCAAACAGGAATAAAATTATCAACATTGAAGGGATATTCAAATTGAAATTGATATTTTAGCCTTGTGCTTAAAGGGAGTTCTGAGAATACAGAGAAATTACTATCAATCAATACATAATAAATCAGATATGAACTCCACCTCAATTAATTCAAACCTATGTGAGATTAAATAGAAAATGCCTGTTTACTTTTTTTATAAATCCCAAGAGAATGAATGATGATATACAATAATGATGAAAAGTAGAGGTATTATAAAATGACAAAAAGTGACCCTATGTGTGTCTAGAGTTGTTTAAATAAAATGAGAGGCTTTGGTGGTCATTTCTGTAGAGCCTGTGAGAGGGTGACATTGAATGTAGTTAGGCACTCCAGTTTGAATTTTTGGAGTAATCACCAGTCAAGAAGTGTTCCCTCCCAGAGAAGTTCTGATCCCTTGTGGCTATCCAGGCAGACCATCAGTGCTGACCTCTTAACAGAGTAGCAATTTGTGTCAAGTAAACTAATGACCATTAATCAGTTCTTTTGCTTACGCACATATGTAATTTCCTTTGAATGTAAGAGGACTCAAGACTCCAGTCCAGTTCGACAGCAATAATACTTTCTTAACTAGTCATTATGATGCTGAATTAAAAAATCATAATGGGTTCTAAAAATGTCTTTATTGAAACTATATTTTTTAAGAGTATTTGGGGAGTCAATGATTATGTCACATTTAAGTAACTCTACATCAAACTGCAAGACTACTGAGGTATGTCATGGTGAAAGCCAGATGGTGGACCAATCGCTGCTTCAGCAGATACCACATGATGCAAGGGGAGCACACTGGGGACTAACCTCCACTCTGTGATCTGGCAAAAAATTCTGAATCAAATCCGTGATACCAAGTTTACTTATTGTTAAACTTGACTTCACTTAACAAGACCATAAGTTACTTCTTCCCAAAGCTGAGTTCAGATGTTCAGGTGAGTGCTTCTCATTAAGTATCCTTTCATCAGTAAGACCTTGAGTCATAATTACAAATAAATTTTTAATGAATTACCACTGAGTTTTAATAACTACAAAAGATTAAAAGATGAGATTATATGAAAAAAATAATCTACAAATAATCTTATAGTTTAGTTTCAAGATACTGTCATGGGGAATGTTACTACTACAAAAAGTTTTATTTAAACTTTTATTTTCAGTGCATTTCTCTTCCTATTTATAAGCATTTTATAGATTTTCATTCATCTTTTTCCCCCACTATTGTTTTAACCAATCTAATCATCCTTGTTTGAAACAAAATCAAGTACCATTTGTTATTTTTACATGTGAGATTTTATAAAATTAACCAGTCTTCTGTTCCTAGGTAAGTGGACTTGTCAAATAAATATACTACTGGGGTACTATCTCATAAAAGGTGGAGTAAGAAAGAATACTTTATATTTACAAAATGTTTTTCAAGTGTGCAGTAGATAGCCTTGGAACTATTATGTAGAAGAACCATTTTATCTCTTTTCCAAATTAGTCAGATCCAAAAGATTTGGATCAGGAAGATGAATTTCTTTTTATATCTTTACTGTTAAACTGAGTATAGTTATTCTATAAGACCTATAATTAATGGCTACTTCCAAAAATCACTTTACATTGTCATATGTGGGTTAATAAACATGCAGTTAGAGAAAATATGACAAAGGAAAATGTATTAGGGAATTAAGATAATTGTATTCAAATTTATACTCAATCTTGGTTTCTACTTGTTTTACTTTCATTGGCAATTTAACTAGTAGAAATTTACAACAATGTTTTGATTTTTTTTGTTTCAAATTAATTATGAGAAGACATGAGGATAGACATTTGCATCACACTCATTATATCAAGATGAAAAATAAAACCCTATGCTTACTTGTTCACCCAACATGTATTTATGGAAAACCAGTTCTTGTGAAGTGTGTAAGGGAGGGAAAGACTTCCCTCCACCCCATGAGGATTCAGTTGAGTCTGAAATAAACTAACAGGCAGGTTAGCAAGACAAAAAGTATACTAATTCACTATGTGCAAAGACACATGAATACCTAGAAACATAGTGAGAGCAGACACTTAGTATAACTTCTTCACAGGGGCAGGGGAACACACACACACACAAATTGGCCCCAAGAATGGTGCTAGCCTGTGACCAAGTCTGTCTGGTTGTGGCATCACTCTCCAGTTATGCTTCTGTGATCTGAGCTGATGCCCCTAGCCTATGAAATTGCCAGGTAATAGATTCATGACAACTGAGTTCTTCATGGAGGGTCTGTGTCATAAGGCAGACGACCCTGATATCACATTCATACTCTGAATAAGGACAATAAGAAAGTCCAGGGTAACCTCTGAAGTATGAGATTATGGAGGTCTTTAAGTTTTCTATATTTTTTTAGGTCTGGTATTTTATAAGCATAAATTATTTGTATAGTCAGGGGAAAAATGAAAATATGTCTATGAATAAACACAACAAGGGAACAAATGAACATAAAATATTTGTTGATTAAGACTATTGGCTATTTAGGGATAGATTTCTGTCTGTTTTCAAGTTATTATATTTTCCTAATAGAATTTTAATGATAGATTTAACTCAACAATAAAAGAAGCATATGGAAATTTTGAGCTCTTTGATTTGAATAATTGGCTTTATTAGGTATTAGGAGTAGAGGCTTCACTGCTGTTTGTATTTCTAGCAGGAGTAGGGCTGTGAAAAAATTAAGGCACAATCTCTATTTGTTTATAATTCACTTTTTCAAACTCTTGTATAATGTCCAGCTGGAATGGTGGAATAAATCTCTCTATTAGTCTACTTGTAATGATCTATTTCATTACCATCTATTATGAAGGTAGCTTTTCTACATCATTAAAATGGAATAGGGTCATAGTTCCTAATTTCAAATACTTTCATAATGTTAAAATACTGCCCTGAAAAGAAAGAAAGAAAGAAAGAAAGGAAGAGACAACTAAAACAATTCCTGACTGCATTTCAGAGAAGTATCAGCAGCCTTGACCTTCATGTTCTGAGAAAGTCCAGCCTGTTTAAATGGAAATGGATCCTTCTTCATTTCAGCAAGTCCTAGTTACATCATTGACCGTTTTTCAAATTCTGTAATCTTGTTTTTAGTGTCACTTCGAGCTGAATCATTCTTTTCATAAATGGCCAAGATTGTGATATCTCTGTAGCTTTTCTTATTTAATACAACTCAGCTGCCACTTTAAATGAAAAAATTCTGATGGAGCATGAGAAATTTCCTGTTAATGAAGGCTTATGTCCTTCTGGCCATGAACAAAGGGTGTCTGGTACTTGCTAACTCCATTTAAAATTCGAATTATTTTGTAAAGTTAATTGTGAGTTTCCAAGTATCCTTTAAGTACTATTAAATTCAATTACTCATTTTGCAAACTAATGGGCAAGAGGAGAGGACAGGGAAGGCTCTCTGAGTCAGTCCCACTCACAAGCCCTGACAATGCAGAACTAAGTCAGTTAAGAATATCCTCATCAGCTATTCTACTTTTAATTAAGGACTTATTCAAAATTTCATTTTCATGGTAGTTGTGTTTAAATTTGACACTTTGTTTCCATTTTATTTGTTTGTTTGTTTATTTATTTATTTATTTATTACTGGGGAATGAACTCAGGGGTGCTTAACCACTGAGTCACATCCCTAGCCCTTTTTTATTTTTATTTAGAGACAGGGTCTCACTGAGTTGCTAAGTGCCTCACTAAGTTGCTAAGGCTGACCTCAAACTTGATATGTGCACAGCTGTATACATCCTTTTTGTTAACAACATTTAAATACTTCTATTTCCTAAAGTTATGTTATCAGAGTCCTGAATAAGGACACTGTTACAGTGAAGAACTAGGTCTAGGATGTGGAACTAGACAGAGATGGAGACACGTCCATGAACCCACATGGCTGTTGAAACACCATGGAATACATATACTCCAAGGAGGTACAGCGGGGAGACCCAGGGCGGTCTCTCCATATAGGTGGCATGACTTTCTGTCATAAAACAAGAGGGAGCAGATTTGGCTAGGAATGTGTGGAGAGGAACAGTGTATGGCTTTACTTAGATTTAAAATGTCTTTAGATGCAATGGCCTGGTAATGTAGCTTCTGAACTTTGGAGAGAAATGTCTTACTTTAACACGTGATAGGTAGCTTTATTCTTATTTATACCTAAAAACTTAAGTTTAAATCATGTATTGATGGAGTCCTTAGAAATTTACTGAAAACAAAAATACTTCCATTTTAAAAGTCAAATTAAAACAAGCACTTTTTGGTTCTGCAGCAGATCAAATTGGCTCTTAAAATATTATTTTAACAAATTAACATCACCTTAAAATACCATATTTTTCTAGTGGTATCTGGGGTTGGGAGTTGTAAGGTGCATACCCAAGAGCCATGCCAGTGGGTAAGGTACAAGGGCAAATTAAATTAGCTTCTACTTAGTTTATTATAATTTCAGCTACATTTTTATGGAATGAAGGCAAAACACAACAAAGAATCCAAAAAATGAAATGATGTAGACCAACCTTTTATTGCACCCACAATATTTTGGTCTAGTCCTTTCCGGTTGTCATTGAGTCCTCTTTTCCTCTTCCCATTGGGTAAGGAGTTAGCCAAAGTCTTGTCATCAAAAAATGCACACACCAGTTTTCTAAACAGAAGGCTTCCTGAGCGAGTGTAGTTTGACAGTATAGAGTCCAGCTGAGACTTAGGCATAAACACATCAAAGCCTTCAGCAAGTTGCACTTCTGGCTACCAAAAGAAGAGAAATATTTCATTAAACGCAAAATTTGAAGCATTTGACTTTGGGCATAAAGTGCAACAAAAACCATCGTAGCTCATAGCTGTCCATATCATGTGTATGACACAGCCTCAGCTTAGTGTGCCAGAATGTGTACTTTCTAAAACCAATCACCAGTTACAGTTCACAAAACAAGATTCCAGTACTGTCTCATCAAAAGCAATGGAGAGAAGTATACTGAGAAAGTATTCCTGTTCTTACACATCATTAAGAGATAATCACAAAATCATGTTAATTCTAGAACTAAGGGTCAAGCCTTCTATATGAAACACCCTCATTAATTTTGTAAACAAAGGAACTAAGGCCCCAAAAGATCATGATAAAAATGACTTAAACACAATTCAGATGTGCTCGGTGCATTACTGTCTTATACATTAAATAATTTAATTTCTTTCACCTGAGGTTACAAATGTGGGACTACTCCACAGGGCCTGTCCTCTTTCTACTATGTCAGGGTGTTAGCTGTGGAACTATTTTTTTTTAACCCAATGAGAATTTTATGTAATCTGATATACAAATAAAAATAATGAGCAGATTTCCAGGCCATTTCAATCCACTCCCCACCCCTACTTTCAGGAGGAAAAGCTGAAGTTATATCCCAGAGGACCCTGAAAAACCAATGCACCAGCCATAAGACAGGGATACAGGATCAGAAGACCCCTGAGGTGCCTTTCAGCTTGGAGTATATCATACAATAATACAAACCAGACACATACTACATTCTCTATCAGCACACCACGGATGTTTAAAACCTGTCTTTTCATCTTGCGACTAGCATATACTATTTCCTTTCCAAAGCCTTTTCTATCTTCTTCCTGTCATGGAGGTAGCTATGTTACCACTGGGCATCTGACATAGCATATTAATGTATTTATTACACTGTACTTTGTATTTCTAAGGTCTGGCATAGAGTACACACTCAATAAATTCATTAGTCATAATCTAAACTATTAAGTCATTCATTGTTGGTTATAACATGACAGCTTTAAAATGATAATTTTAAAATGAAGAAATGCAACTGGTAATTTTTATTAAAAAATAATATATTCAGTTGTATATACTTTCAAAGCTCATTCTTAAGATCTTTTACTTGTTGCTTTGTAAAACTAACATGACTTTAAATTTTTCTAAATCACATTAAAAATGTGATTATTTTAGATTAGTTTCTGTCCTGGAAAATATGAATTATTATTTTTGTTTGTCATACTGTTTTCAAAATGCCTAGCACACTACAAAATAATGGATGCTCAGAGCTCAGCCTAGATTATTCGGATGACTTAAGAAGGCATCTGGGCTCTGTCTCCCTAACATGGAATTTTTGACTGGATTACCCAGAAAGTCATCTCATTCCTCTGCTTTGTTTGCCATTCAATGTTTGGTTTCTAAATGCTTGGCAAATGTCATTGTAAAAACAATGCTGTCAGGGTTTCCCCCTGCCTTTTGCATCTTGCTGCTTGCTGGTCAAAGGTCTGTGGAGGAGCTTGATGGGAGCTGGAGACTGAATACTAACTCCTAGAATAAGGATGGCACAAATGAGGCACTCAAGAAATATCTGTTAAATGATTCAATGTGGAAATATTAGGACTGAATTTTCCAACATAAGCTAAGGTGAAGTTTAGACATCAGCAGAATTTTTCATATCCTGTGAACTTTGATTCTAAATGAACTGATCTCAGATTTTTGCTAAGTGCTCCTAGATCATATGGAAACCATTAAAAATATCCTAATCTCACAGCTATTTGAAGGTCTGAGGTATTACAGAAGCTCTTAAATTGCAAGAAAGTAACAGGAAGGACTCCACCTTGTTTCATTCCTATAAACCTCAGTTTAGTCTCATACCACTAATCAGGTGCTTAAAATTTAGCCACCTGATTGCTGAGACTCCCAGAACTTCCCCTTTGATTCGTCCTGTTGGACTTGGACTCTGAGTTTAGAAACACTGACCCAACTGAGCTGCCAGGCAGAACTAGCCACTCCCCTCTTCATACATTGATAGAATTTTCTATGAAATATGTTCATGGCACCTTATTTAATAGGGAGTTTGTGTTCTCATCAGGATGAGCACTCTTTTGTATTCAGCGTGCCAAGCACCCAGTGTCCAATAGCTATTTGTCAGAATAAACAAAGCGCTATGTAAGAATTCATTCAAAATGACTAGTGCTGATTCAGAGCTCTCTTGTCCCTGTATAAAGGAAGTGGGCTTGCAAGTCTGTCATGCGATAGCTGGGTATACACCACCCATGTCTTCTTAGAAGGGTTCATGTGCTCCCTCCAGCAGAAGATTGCTTGGAGAAGACTGTAATGCCTGACTCAATACCTGCACACTGAGCACCCTCTGCGGGAGGAATTTCAAGCTGGCTCTATAGTGCAGACTAATGCATAGGTACCTATCATGCAAAGTAGAAAGTGAGGAATACTGTAAGAGAGATACAGAGCAAGTACTGTCGCTGCTAGCATCAGGCAGGACTTGGCTGCTTGGGGGAGCAATGGAAAAGGGGCTCAGGGGTTAAGAAAGAGATGGGACAGCATTTTAACAGGGTCTTGAAGCTAAGATTTGGTATAGTTGTTATTTGTGCATCTGTTTCGCCTCTTAAAACTAAATATCTGGAGGTTTTTGTGGGGCCAAGTCTTCCTACAGCATCATAACTGCACTGTGATTTCTAAGGTACCATTCAGGGCAGAAGCTGTCACTGCTTTCTGTTCCAGTTTCTATTGCCAGACTGATATTGTTATTTTCAACTGTTCTTTCCAGATCAAGGGACATGAACTCATCCACCTGCAAGCACCTTACAGAGGTGTAAATAGTCTGATTAGCTGCACAGCAGCCTGCAGCAGCAAGGGCAAAGGTGGCTAAGCTCTACCCCTCCTGCTCTTCCTGGCCTGCCTCCTGTTCAGAGTTCTTGGCAGGCAGTTACTGAGCACTAAACATGTCTGTCAGGTGCCACAAAGCACCGATTTCTAAAATAAAGCTGGGGGTGGGTGATGGCTTTATTTTTTTGAAACATGATCCACAGCTTCACATACATAGTTAAAAACAGATTAAAACCCTTTAATTGAATAACTACATCTTTTCTTTTTGTTTACTGGTGGTAGTTTAAATGAGGTTTCTCTGATTACTAAAGATAGTTATGACATAAATGAACACTATTCCAAATGAGTATCATTTTAAAAACTAAACTTCCCTTGACAGATTCACTATTTGATACTCTGTAGATTCTACTGATTGTTGTGGTAATATGATCTTTAAATGATAACATCCCAATTATGGGGTACAATTTACAACACAGTCATCATTTTAAGGGGTTGAATCTCTGAGTTCTCACTATAAGTCTGGATTTTTGAGTATGCTTTGATTATTGGGGTGCCTAAGCATAAGCACAATAATGTATAGATACTGCCTTTTCCTTATCCAGTGGTATCACAGTTTACTTTTAGAGAAGATGGAGGAAAAAACTGCCTATTGTCCTGATGGCTCTTCAAAATATCCTTGGCTCCAGGCCTGCCCACTATTTTGCTTCTTACATTTCAGTTGTGGTCTCCCTTTGCTTACAAGTAATTGGGGTTAAGAAGTAGTTTGGGTGAGAGATCCATGCCCCTCAAGTTCCTATGAGCATATCATGTGACTGCCCTATGTAATCTAAAGAAAAACAAGACAATTTTAAGGATACCATACAAATTAATCACACAGGGAGAAACTTCCCCTATATACTATTTTGTTTTGTTATGGCACTGGGGATTGAACCAAGAAATATTCTACCACTAAGATACATCCCTAGCCTTTTTATTTTAAATTTTTTTTATTTGGGGACAGGGTGGTCTTGACTTTGTGATCCTCCTGCCTTAGACTCTGAATAGCTGGGATTATATTGTGTGCTCTTGTGCTTGACTAGGCTATTTTATATTACTAATTCAAAATTATAGTAAAGTTCATATAAAGCTACATATAGTCATTAGTTAGAAGAGTAAAAAGAAATGAATAAACATTCATGCTAGGCATTAGACCTAGATTTTCAATTGCAAATTAATAAATTATACATACAGCTTTCAATACCCACACTTACAGGACATACATGAAGTTGTCTGCATGAGACCATGGGGTGTCAGGATTAGGAAGGCAAAGCTGGCTGGCTAGTTAAGTCTCAGACTGGCTCAGGACTGAAACCTGAAAGAAAACTATAGAGGAAGAGGCAGAGACTGATGAATAAGACTGATTTTATACTGCAAGATGGATAAGAGGATTGATAAGAATGTTTAAAGGATGTGAATTTAGTCTTTTTGTTTATCATCATACAATGATGCTCACTTACTATTTATTTATCTATGTTCCTAGGAAAATGAGCTTCAGCTAATGAAAAGAATAATTTAAAAACACACAAAAATTCGTAATTGATTTTATTTTGCTCATAAATGTGATCTGTTTCTATTTGAGAAAACCTAAAATTGTTTCTAATAAATCAGGCCTGATCCAGGTAGACTTTCTGTTACCATTTATTAAATGCTAGCCAAGAACATGGCCAATGAGACTCAAAGGCAGGCCTGCTCTGGTTGGCCCAGTGAATATAACTCAAAATAGGTATGGCCTGAGGCTGTGCTGGGCTGAGAACCCTTCATGGATGGAGCAGAAGCTTGCTGGATATACCATATCAAGACCAACTTTGTAAGGTGGATGCTCTATATTAAGTAAAGAATGCTTGGCTGAAAGAAAGTCCTTGAAACAGTAAGCATAACCTGTACTATATACTAGCATATACTTAATGTTGAATAAGATAAAAATTATGGAAATCATTAAAAAACTAATTCTTTTCTTTCATAAAATTGTGGTGGATGTAAGAATTGAATTTTGCAAGAGACAATACAATTTGGTCTCTTGAAAGTTTCTTCATGCACTTGCATAATGAAAGTTGCCAAAGTCTTTCAGAGATGTGTTTAGCTTTTTCCTTCTCAGGTAATA